GCAAACGCACTATGTTGGTTTTGTTGTGACGCGGCTCATATTAGCCCGATTTGGGTACAAGCGTTGCAACACTTTTTATTTGAGGTCATTTGGCACAGTAAATTTATTATTCTGGAAACAAACGGGTTGATGAAATAATCTATCTGAAAATTCGCAGAATAGTTATTGGTCCGGACATACACCAAATGATACACAAATCTTGTTTAAAAATATTTTCAGTCCCCTCGTGTAGAAAAATCTCAGTGGAAGCCCTTAAAGGGTAAAACAGATTTGAAACATAACTTACTCTTCTACAACATTTACTTCCTGCTGGATTGTATTGTAACAGTTAATTTTTTATTAATACGAGTAACAACAACAAAACCGAATAACACAATCAATCTAGAAACACCAAAATTATAAAACACAAAAACAGTTAAAGATAGAGAACTGTTCTCCATTGAATGTCAAATAACTTTCACAAAATCACATATTAAACCATACATACCTTCGTCTATCATGAACAAATACTAAAAATTTGTTTGAAGCAATGGAAGAAAAAATACTAGAGCATTGCAGGCTTGATTGAACTCTATTGTTGTTATTGTTGAAGTTGTGTATATAAACGTTAAGACATTTGTGGCATTTTATGTACAGTGTTTCGATTCGATTTGATTTACCTGATAGCATTTTCGTATTATGAGATTATTATGATCAGAACAAATCAATTTTATTGAACGTATCCATCTGCAATTTAAGACTTACAACGTGTATATCGATGCAAAAGATACAAAAGCAAAAGATCAGCATTATCTATTATTATTCATGTATATGCACAAATAACGATTGATAATTCAACAAACTGTCAAAATATACTTTAATTATGAGCTTTGCTGGTTGGACGTTTAGTCACACCCAATTATGTAAAGGTCATATATCAACTATTTGGCTTTACTTTTGGATGAAGACATCGGGCATCACTCCGTGCATCATTTGGCACTTGATAAGAAGCAACGACTGCAGATTTCTTGCTCAAAATGAAAAGAATTAACGTGTCCTATCTGAGCAATAAGAAAATGTTGTAAATAGAGCATATCCCTCCGTGCATCATTTGGATATTAATAAGAACCGACGACTCTAATTTCGTGCTCAAAATGATACGGTTTAAAGTGTTATACTTGAGCAGTAAGAAAAATGTTGGATTTAGATTGCAGGATTATTTTAGCTTACTAATGATATTAGATCGTCTATATCAAAATTATAAAATTAAGTCTTTTAAATTGACTGACTAATCCTTGAATTGGCAAATAACTTATCATTTCGTCACCATTATCGCACAAATAACATTTCGTTACATATATGTATTTAATGGTTCGTTATATTAAGAATCAGTAATTTAATAATTCAATTCAATATTTTATTCGGCAAAAACATATAAATGTTCATCGCCAATATAACATATATACAATGGCGGTACAAATACAAAGAGAAAAGCATGAATTCATATTAATTAAATCAGTCGAATTCTTACAATAACAAAACAAAGAGATACTATATATGATCTATAACATACATAAAATAAATCCACATTACACAGTCATATCATGCCTGATAGTTTTCGCGCCAAAGATTAGCTTTGTAAACGTATTTTGCAAGTTTATTAATAGTATTACTTTGTTGACAATTTAAAAGAGATTTGAATTTAAACAAATTTGGCCAATGACAATAATAACTAGGTAAAATATTAAGTCTAATCTGTCTGTAAAAAGGACATACTAAGAGGAAATGATACTCATTTTCTATACTATTCATATAACATTTCGTGCATATTCTTTGACTTCTATTAATGTTTCTATATCTCCCTTCTTCTATAGCTAAATTATGAGCAGAACACCGGAATCTAGACAAAGCAATTCTATAGCTATCATATTTTACACAACTTAAATATTTTTCTAATTCAAAACTGGATTTAAATAAACAGTAGGTATCAAGTTTAGGAGATTCTTTGAGCTCTGAAAACCATTGCTGTAGATATTGGTCATAAATAGTTCTTATTACTGTTTGAATTTGTAAGTTAGTGATTTCTGTATTATCCCATAAATAAGAGTATCCTAAATTATCTAATAATTGTTTAACACTTACAGACCAATTGTTAACTAATATTCCATGATCATCACGCATATTAAATACTTTAAAAACTAAAGAATTCGGGGTTTTCATAATTCTGAACCAATATTTTATCATTCTGATTTTACGACATATAATCATCGGAACTCGTCCAAATTCACCGTAAATCGCAGAACTGGCAGTCTGTTGACGAACTTTTAAAACGCTTTTTAAAAACTTTAAATGAATTTTTTCTATATCGGGTGCCTTATGTAAACCCCAAATTTCACATCCATAATTCAGAATCGAAGTGATCATGGAATCAAATAACTTAATTTTGTCTTTAATGTCTAGTGATACAGTTTCAAATAGTGAAGTAAGCGAAAACAAAGCTTTCATAGCTTGTCCAGACAATGACTTTTGTGCCTGGAAAAAACTTCCATTAGCAGACAGAGTAACACCTAAATAAGTAAATTTAGTAACAATTTTAAGTCTATGATTATCATAAAATATATCAATATTTTCAGGTCTATTACCTTTCTTACATATCATCACTACGGTTTTATCAATATTAACACTGATACCCCAATTGCAACAATAAGAATGTAAATTATTTAGTAGGTTTTGTAACCCTTCTTTGGAATAAGATATTAACACCGTATCATCCGCAAAAAGAAGTAAAAAGAGATGTAATTCGTCCATAGTGAACGAGTCAATAGAGTCGTCATATAAATATTGATACATATCATTTATAAAAAATAAAAACAACAGAGGGGATAATGGTTCGCCTTGTTTAACGCCCTTAAAGCTCTCAAAATTATCACTTAGCTGTCCATTTACACGTACACAAGATTTAACACTTTCATATATTTTCTGTAACATATTGACAAACTTTGTGGAAGCTCCATAAGATAATAATTTAAACCAGATTCCGTTCCTGTAAACTACATCAGAGGCTTTTCTGAAATCGACAAATGCTAAATATAGCTTCTTTTTATCATGCGAAATAACTTTATCTATGATTGAAGTTAAAACAAAAATACAGTCGATGGTACTTTTATCTTTTCGAAAACCAAATTGAAAATCACTTAACATATTGTTGTCCTCGGCCCATTTTCGAAGTCTTAAATCTAATAAAGTTGAAAAGATTTTTGAAAAAATACTACTTAATGTTATTCCTCTATAATTATTGACATTATTAAGGTTACCTTTTTTTGGGACAGGAACAATAACACCTTTAGTCCAACTATCTGGGTAAATACAATGAGTAAACATAATATTAAATAGTTTGCATAATAACGGTGCAATAATATCTTTACACTCAACAAACATCTCGGGGATTAAACAATCTATTCCACCGCTTTTACCACTCTTTAACATATTTAGAGCTTTCAATACTTCATCAAGGCTAAACAAAATATCAAGTTGTTCAACATTGATATTAACATCACTGTTTAATAAATTTTCAGCATCATCATTTATAAATTCGTTGTCATCAGAAAAAACATTTTTGAAATGATTATAAAATTCGTCTTTACTAATATTACTCCCTTTTGGCGTTTTTGATTTAAATTTTTTAATTTCTTTCCAAAACTTTTGGGGCTGAGTAGAAGCCAAAGTATGTAATTGTTGTTTTTGGTTGGCCTTAAATGTAGCACGTGCCTTGCGCTTAGCCAATCGATATTTACGACGCTTTTCAATGAGCAGTGCACCGTTACAATTGGTTCTATTGTTTTTATAATGCTTATTTACTGAGCGAAGCTCACGTCTAGCCGTTTCACATTCCTTCGTGTACCAAGGACTCTTAAACTTACGGTTATTTGACCTAGACACATTAAATGACCTTCCAAAAACGCTATAGGCTTTTTCATAAAGAATAGATGAAAATTTATCTACACCCGTATTAATATCGGTATCATCTGAAATTATGCTATTTACGATTGACTCAAGATTTGTATATTCATTTTCTATCAAAGATTTATATTCATAGCTTCTATCATCATTCCAAATAATTTTATCAATATTTATTTTGTTTACATTATTCAATGTTAGATCACTGTTACAACATAGGTTAAGCTGTATAGGTAAATGACTAGAGCAGGTATATAAATCATGTACAATAAAATCACTTATAACGTGGAAAAAATCTTGCGACATAAGAACGTAATCAATCATGCTATTTCCAGTTGACGACATAAAAGTATAACTACCAACACCTGCATCATCACCAATACGGCCATTCACAATTTTTAAGTCGCTGCTTACACAAATATCTAATAACTTCTTACCAGAGCAATTAATCATTTTATCCATAGAAAATCTATAAGGAATATCATTTATGCTAACTTCCGATTCATTTTTATCTAAAGTTGAAATATACTTATCAAAATTATCAGTACATTCTAAAATATCAGACCTTTCACCACATCTAGCATTAAGGTCGCCAATTACTGACACTTTTCCATATTCACTATATTTACGAATATAATGTTCAAGTGATTCAAAAAACCCTACTTCATGTGACATAAAATACACAGAATTGCTAGGAGGGATATATAAAAAAACATATATATAAATCATACTCAAAACCAAAAAATGTTTTATCAAGTTTGACCCATATAAAACCAGTGTTATCACATTCTACAATAGAAATACCGTTATTCAATCGCTCTTTAAATAGTAGGCAAATTCCACCGTGTCCGCGTTTAGATTTAATACTTTCGGGTCTGGGAACATAAATAGAATCATATCCTTTCAAAGAAAAAACTTTAACATTCTTTTGCCATGTTTCACTAAGAAAAATGATATCAAAATTTTGGACCAAGTCTAAAAAATCTTCATCATCTACGCAAGAATTTAATCCTCCCACATTCCATGAAACTATTTTCAAATTGTCACACTTTTTCTCTGTCCCCCTATTTAGAACCATATAATTCATTATCAATATAAAGTTTATCCCTGACAAGAACTGCGCGTTTTCCCTGTTTCCTAGCATCAATCATCACTGGTTTAAGTTGCTTCCGGCGGTCTTTCACTTCCGGTGGATACTGATCTGCTACATTGTAATCTGTATGCTGTAATTTAACATGTTTAAGTGACTCTTTAATCAAAGATTTTGATTCTGAATCAAATTTTGCATCGATGGGCCTAGTTTTGCCTGATATAAATTTCCCCACTCTATGTGCACGTATTATGTTAATCTTAGAGCGAGGATCATTAATGCGCAGGATTTTGTCACAGAAAGTGAATACCTTATCAACACAATTTTCATGATCACTTTTTACGACAGAAAAAAAACAAGGCTGGTGCACTAATACTACCATGTCCAGCAGGTTCATGGAAATCATCAGATGTCGAGATTGTAGAAGTCTGGTTAGTAGAAGTGTTGTCCGTGAACCCCGTAGAATCCGTCACGGTTGATTGAACACCGCCAAGAGGAGCGGGATTGAACGTAGTACCCTCGGCAACTCCGAAGAACAGGAGATTATCTCGCATCGAGCGACATTTCAAATCAATAATATTTTCGTTACATGAATCGTTTGCCGACTTTAATTTTTCATTCTCAGCACTCAGAAATTTGACATCACTACGTAATTGAGAAATATCGCCTTTATTTTCGATAGAACGTGCCGTTACACTATCATACTGTTCGCTTATAAAAGCGTGACTACGTTCAATCTCGTTGAACTTTTGATCAAGGCTGTTTAAGCGTTCCGTTATTTTCTCGACAGTTGATTGAATTTTATTCAATTGGCCAAGTTTAGCGTCCATACTGTCCAAACGTTGTATAATCCCCTGTAAAATGTCCGTATTTAAATTGTTTACATTTTGCTGAGATAATATAGGTGATGTTTGATTTGTTACGAAAGGGGATGATGGATGATACAGAGGCGGCAGCATAAAAGACTGACCGATACCATATTGACCAACCTGTGCTGGAGAAGCTGCTTGTTGAAGATTTGGAGACTGAAAGTTTTGTTGAGTGTTTGCCGCCATCTTTCTCTTTGTTTCTTTGTTATCGTTCAACGGAGAAATATTGTCCTTTTTACGTTTTCTTGTCATTAGAAAACCAATATAAGTCCGTATTATATATGAAACAGATAAATTAAGATGCCAGTAATGTATTAATTCATTTTAGAAACATTTATATATCCATATATATGTTCTAATAACCGATTTTTCTAACTATCGCAAACATTTGAAAAAATACGTCCGCCATTTTCGAGCATGCGCACAATTTGAATTGAATTGAGTAATTTAATAAATCAGTCAATGTTATACAAGTACATTTAATTGTTTTCATATTGGTTGCAGTTAATAAAAACAAAGCGAACTAAAACGACTAGACCCTAAAAATGCCTTAATAGCTGTTTCTAGAAATTACATTGTCTTATGTATTCATAAGGTTATACTGGGGGTGTAGTAAAATGCCATTTAACATCCTAGGCCAAAAGGGTTTTTGTTACGCTCACAGTTTTGTGAACATTCTAAGTCCAGTAAATTAAAAATGGTGAAATAATCCGTCTAGTGTTTGTGTCCAACATTATTGTATTCATAAATGTACAAGCTTTTCAATACGACACATTTGGTATTATTACTCACTCATTGGAAGCTAGTTCGCAGCTGGTCATATAGATGTCATTAATTAACAAATATTCCCATAAAGTAATTACTCTCAGAACATTTGTACAAACACAATCCTCGATTAGTAAATGCGTGAATAACTGTGAACTTAACCATGCAAAATTTTTAATAGTCGAAGAACAAAATATATTCAAGCAACAGTACGCACAAGACAAAAAGACAGTTACACATACATTTCGAACCACTCAACGCTGGCCGCTGTAAAAATGTGTGCCAATGCTGTGAATCTTAATTATATAGTTTGCTGCGACGTACCGCTTTAAAGGTTATGTTGTAAAAGAATGATTGAAGAACTTTATGTGTGGTACTTATACGAAAATATATGCTGCTGCTTTCTTTCTTTTCTCACAATTTTCTATTCATATGCAAATTAGTGTTCAAGTTCGCATTCAAAACAAAATGTTCACCACATTCAAATTTACAGAACAAAATGACAAAGCATAATATTGCAGACAGAACTTTCTTTTTTCTCATTATGAGATAATTATATACATTAACCCTAGCTCGGATTTAACTGTTTATAAAAGCACTTAGATGTGATAAATGTCTTACATCAAGCATCTTTTTCCAAGCCGGACTCCGAAAATAAAAATTAAGTCATGACAGAAGTTAACTATTTCGTCGTTGAGAACATTATGGTTTTATAACTAATCTCATTTAGAATATTTAAAATACTGAAAGCAATGAAAAGAAAAGCCATTTTTAGTACTATTTGACTACTGAAAATATCGGATATGTAACATAATAAAATAAAGCTTTTGACAATCAAATTGCAGGTGTTAAACATATAAAAGCATACATGTTAACTAGTTTAATCAAGAATATTAAACAAATTTAGCAATAGTATTGACACTGGAATAATATAAATTGATCACCATTGTTATAACCAACACAATATTAAATATTAAACAAATATATAAAGTTCTCTTATCAGTTGAGTATCATAACAAAGGTCACTAAGGCTAATGCTTTAGAATAGCAAATTTGTAACATTGCAAATAATTTTATGCAGCTAGCATTTACTGCGTAGGTGTATTAACTTTTTTCTGTTACAATCAAGAATTCATGTTTTTATTTATTTATTTATTTATTTATTTATTTATTTATTTATTTATTTATTTATTTATTATCAAATACGCTACACAAAAACGACTATATGACATCATAAGGATAACCCAATAAAATGTTAAAATGAGCAATGTTGTTTACATCATCGTTCTTGAGGTATGGCTTTGTGTGACGTAAGAAAATATGGCTTATCACAAATTAACAAAAGGTAGTATACAGTATAACATAAAACACAAAACATAAAATTAAAAAAAAACCAACTGAGCATATTTTGGTAGATTTAATAGAATGTTTACAATTAAAGCAATATGAAATTATTCGTTTAAAAACAACTACGATATTAACACTGAATGACAAAAGTTAAGAAAATTTATAATTAAAAGATATTTATAAAATAAAGACAGTATAATGTTGTTTTATCAAAGATTCATGTGAAATTATTTCTAAAGAATTGCAAATATTGTTTGATTTTAAGGTCAATGCATCTTTGCCAATAGAGTAGACGTTTATACATTGGCTAAAGTTGACTCGTATTATATTAAAGGAAATATTGAAGGAAATAATTTGCTACAGATGTCTTAAACATAATTTTATCGATTGATTAACACTTCTAAAACATAGATAAACGCGTGAACAAACTAATTAAGGTTATTATGCTATTTGTGTCATTAAATTCCTACAACACTTTATCTTTCTCACTTCACAAGATTTCTGATCAAACAGCTAGAGACTCATCCGAATATGCTAGGCATTTAAATGGATTCAAGATTAAAGAAAGTCTTATCGGCCACAGAATCAAATTACAAACAGAAATGGCTGCGGAATTTTATGTTATGTGGCTGGCGATATTTTAGTGTTTACAGAGAATGTTCTCGAACATGATAATCAGTGTAGTTTAACATCAGAGTCAACTACTGAATACACAAGTACAATTATGGTAGGGCAGCTTATACAGGATCATAGTCACATCATACTGGACACGCATAACTAAAACATCAATAATGATGATGCCATCAAAAACAGCAACTGTAAATAATTGAAGTATTAAGAAACAAGAATATATGTGACATATATGAGTAATCCCAAAACATCACATCGATGCAGCTAAACGATATTGTCGATATTTGAAGAAAGAACACTAGAAAAAGCATGTTATGACCATAGTGACCTCATCAAAATTAAAGTTAATGCTGGGGTGTTGTTTTTGCAGGACTGATTTTTTTTTCAATAGGTATCTTCTCGGAAAGCAGGTAAGGTGAAGCGACAGCTGAGATATAACCATAAATGTGTCAAAATCGGCTTTGAACCAAAATCATTAAATAAATTTGGTGTAATTTATATGATGCAAAATTTTGGATGTATTTGAATAAAAAGATATGATGGCGTTTGCTCATTCATAAGTATTTGTATTTATTGATTACAATCAAGATATGTGTATTGTAAATCATTTCAAAATACACTCAAACTTCATTAGCTTAATTAACCATGCCAAGGAAAATCTCCTCCACGATATGTTTCACTCTGATAACAAATAATTGACTATGTTAGAGATTTTATCTGTATCCTAAAATTGTATTGGCGATATATGACCGCATTGTTACGTTTTGATGTGGACATAATTCGACAGTGTTTGATAATGGTTACATGATTTGAGGGAAAACAGATCTGGTTTATATAGAGAAGAATGTCCCACATTGTTTCCTCATGACATAGCTTGTTACGGCGGAGATTAAATGTGTCAGGCGTTAATCTACTTTTGTATGTTTGGCTTTTGTTACAATGCCATAAGAGAAAAAAGATATGGTATCATATTAGGTTTAATAATTGATCGTAAAAAAGATAAAAGTTTCGATCCTAACAGAATGATCACGTGATCAAGACTAGGCATGGGAAATGCTCAGACATTCTTATACTGACAATTTAATCAAAGTAGTATCCGCCTTTGAAATGAGATAATTAAAGTATAAATAGATATATATCATGGTTTATTGAAATTAATATTTAATATTATTTAGACTTGCGAGGATGTACATGTAGTAAGTCAATATTGAAAGTACTACTTGGTACTTTTTAAATGCAATGTTTGATTTATTGGATTAACAATAATCTAATTGGACTATTACAAGTTATTTTTTAAAGGGACGACATGTTTATGTATCTATATCCAAAAACTAACCTCACAAGTTTCTAATATAAATATTAGAAACAAATTCCGATTGTCAATCACGAAAACGTTTTATTATTCATACATTTTTTAGCTAATATCGTAAAATATATCGATGAATATTATCAAAAGAGGACAGCTAAATTTGAAAAATACGTAGTTCTGCAGCGAATAAGCAATAAAACGCAATCAAATACTACGCACGACTTATTTATTGATATGCCGGGCTGAGAATTGCTAACATTTAACTTACTAAATCATATATTTACCTGACATCTATTAAAAAATGGACAATCTATTTCCGTAATGACTAATATTGTTCTTAAACTGAGCTGTCTCTCCTATATGAAGAAAAATGAAGCCAGTGGCAAAAAGCACTTGAATCTCCGAACTCTGACTGAAGAGTTCTAGTTCTGAGTGTGATTTAGTTTCTTCTAATTCATTTACTCTGTATGTGTATGATTAGATATGTGTATTTGCAATTCATTAAGTCCATATGTGTATGATGTTATGATTTAAGATATGTTTATATGCTATTTGCCGATTTGTTAAGAAAATTACGTTAATGTAAACGACCAATCGTTCATCAAGAAAACTAGTCCGTTTAACTATTTAATCATTTAATTAACCTTTAACTGTGAATAAAAACGTAAAGACCTATTGCGGCATTTTACGTAATATGATTTGATTAATCTAAAAGCATTTTCGTATTATTAGATTGTCATGATCAGAACAAATCAACATCATTGAACGTATTCATCTTAGGTGCGTTTTTTTCTTTCTATTCATAACGTACAGCATGTGTTTATCGACATAAACGCCAATGATTCATTTAAGAATTACAACAGTACAATAACTGATTAAGATCATTATTTATTATTATTTATTCTCTATATCATCAATTCAAATGATTCATCGACAGCCAGTCAACATACTTGGTAGACTTACTCTATTAACATTTCAATTCATAAAATAAACATGCAGCTTGTCTGGTTGGACGTTGAGTCACATCAATAGCTTTACTATTTTTACGAAGACTTCGGGCATCCCTCTGTGCATCATTTTGCACTTTGTAAAACCAACAACTCAGATTTCGTGCTCAAAATGATCATTTAGATTT